GTGTCCTACAGTCAATCCAGTTCTGACAATATCTGCTTGGAGTTAACATCAGGTTAGGGGCTCAGTCCTCCAAGACTGCCCTCCTTCAGATGCCAGTTGCAAGTCCCAGGTTATCACCTGTACCTTTGACTGACTGGCTGTATATTGATGTTCCTACAACCCTCTCCTCGGATTCGATAATTTGCTAAGACAACTCACAGAACTCAGGGGAACACTTACTTACGTGTACCTGCTTATTATATAATAAAGAATTTGATAAAGGATACAGATGAATACCCAGATGAAGGAAATACATAGGGTGAGGTCTCGAAGGGTCCTGAGCACAGGTGCCTCTCTCCCCAAGGTGCTGGGTGTGCCGCCCTCCCAGCATGTAGATATATTCATCAACTCCCAATCTCATACTTCTGGGATTTTTATGGAGACTTCATCACTCAGGCATGATTGGTTGTTAACTCATTTTCCAGCCCCCTCCACTCTCTGGAGAATAGGGAGTAGGGCTGGAGGTTCCAAGCTTCTCATCATGGCTTGGTTGTTCTGGTAACCAGCCTCCATTCTGGAGCCCAGCAAAAGTCGCCTCATTGGAACAAAAGACACCCCTGTCACCCAGGATATTCCAAGGGATTTAAGAGCCCTGTGTATGACATTCCTACCACTCAGGATATTTTAGGAGTTTAGGGAGCTCTGTGTCAGGAACTGGGGTTAATAGAGACCAAATATTAGCAGGAACTGGGGGTAGAGACAAATATATGCTTCTTACTATTCCACATGAGTCTACGATAACATCTCCAATTCTCTGAGCATTTTGTTTCTTTCTTCCCTAGTTTTCCAAAGCACTGTTGGCATCTCTGTTGACAGCTGTGTCCCGGGGCCTTGTGAGGGTGTTAGATCTTGAGCCATGGGATGTGTCCTAATATTGACAAATGATGTGTCCCTCATCCAGTCTTAAGTTCTACTCACCCAGCCCTGATCCACTCCCCTCAGGATTCACTCCCAAACATACTCTCCCAGTTCCACCAGTATGTGTTAGCTCCTTTTGTTACAACCTCTTTCCTCCCTCAGCATGCCCAGGATTCCCTCAGTTAGTGTAGGTTGAGATTTTTGCTAATTATGGGCCAATGGCCAGTAGGGGAGGGGAGGCAGGTCCTGACAGGACCCATCTTCCATCCCGGGGAAGGGGGTCACCTCTGCAGCTCCAGATGATGCAAGAGAAGCTGGTGGTTCAAGGCTCCCAAGTGCATCTACCAAGAGATCCTCCTCCCAATGCACAGAAATGCCTCCATTCCCGCCCAGACCCTGCTTTTGGTGGAGTCTTGCCCAGGCTTAGAATTCAGCCTTCTTTGAAGTTCTGTCGCCCTTATAGGTAGGTCCTCTGCCTGCTCTTCAGTGTTGGAGGTGAGCGTTTCTTTAACTGTTTCCAAGGAAGAGGAGCTCTGATTCTCACACTTTGCTTTCAGTTGCTGGTAGATCTGTCATGTTCTCTTCTCAGTCCAGCAGCAGAATTTAGTAAAAGCCACCCAATCCCACAGTCCTAACAAGCACTATCTGCTCTATACTTCTCAAATGTCAGAGCTGTTGCACTAGTTCATAACCCACTTCCCTTTGTGTCTCTTCCCATTTCACCACCAGTGGTGGGGTCTGTATTCCCATCCAGCTGGAGAGGGATTCCCCTCCACAATCCCATCCTAGAGTCTTCCTTCTAGTGCCATTCCCAGGAGCCACTGTTTTAGATTTGTTCCCAGACATAGAGCCTGGCATGGGAATTCCGGTGAGAGTGACTTATTGGGCTGGGCTCTCAGATGAATAGTAGTGAAGGAAGCAAGGTAGGGCTAAGGGATGTGGTTTCAGGGGAGATGTGGTGGAAGCAGATTTGGTCACACCTTGAGGAGGGGGCCAGCCTTTTGAAAACCCACCTCAGCCAGTTGTTGACTGCTGGCTGCTCACCAGGAAAGGTCCAAGAGCAATTCTCCAGAGAAGGGGCAGCTGTGAGCCACTCATAGCCTAGATTCCCAGTGTCTGGGGAAGGGAGGCACTGGTCAGGTGGTGAGGTGATCTGAGCAGGGCGCCAAGAGTATTCCCTACAGACCCTGAGAGCGAGTAGGTTGAATTATTTAGGAGTTTGGCGTTTGGAATCAGACAGACCTAGGGTTTGGATCCTGGCTCTACCACTTGAGTAGCTGGGCCACCTAACTCTGCTGACCCTCAGCTTCTTCATCTGTAAAATGGGAACAATTATGGTATTGTCCTATTAGGGTTGTAGAAAAACTCAAGTCATATAATTCACATAAGTCCCCTGGCATTTTTCCTGGCATGTATGAATAACCATTATTTCTTAAGCTCTTATAATTATTATAAAATTTATTTACCGTAGCACCTCATGATACCTGGTGCTCAATAAATTAGTTATATTGCATAGATTGATTTGACTGAATGAATTAATGTTATTTGCTAAGCTACTACTGGGAAAAGTGCATCCAGGGGACCTTCTGTGAGGGCAAGGAGCGATGGGTGTGTCCAGCTGCAGGACAGTGACTGCCAAATGTCTGTTCTCACGTTCTCCAAGACAAGAGGGTAACATTTGTCCTGCAAATCTCCATAGTTGCTATCGTCGTAGCTTCGTATGGTCTTTTAGAACAACATCAATGCCTTAATTCCAGACTTGTTTTTTACACTGATTACAATTACAGGGTTCCCTATGCAGGATGGAATAAAAACAGAACAGCTGAGAGACCCAGCTCAGGCATATTTACATTTCCCAGAGGATTTCTGGAAGCCAAAATAGTCCTAAGATTCAAAGGCAACGGTAGGCAGTCTAAGAATGGGAACGAGAACACACCAACACAAAAAGCCACAATCAGCTCTCTGAGAAAGAATTGGGTATCTGTATTTTTTAAATGGATAGGGTTGCATCAAGGGATGTAGGACTTCTTTGAAGCAAAGAATCAGCTTGACCTACGATAACAACCCTTTTCTTCACACCTACAGTAAGGCGCAGACACTTCTACTGAAAAGCAATGAATGAAACAGTCCGTGGGCCCCAGCTCCTCAGGGCCCGCAGTGAGGCCGCACCTGTAACTTCCGATATGTGTTCGAGGCGCCCATCCATGCTGCCCACCCTCCCGCTCAGCCTCTCTGCGTCTATTTATGTCCTGCAGAGCTTGACCCTAGCCAATGAGGATGGTGCTGTTTCCTATCCTGGAAGCAGTGGGGTGGGCAGAATGAAATTTGGTTTGTCTTTGTTGTTATTTTCCAAGCCAGTGTGGGGTGGCTTTTTGTGATTCTGTCATTTGGACCTCCAGTGGGGCTAGGTGACCGGCTTTAGAGCAGTACCCATGAAGGCCGAGAGGATGTCACCTTTGCATTGCACACGCCATCAGGCATTTCTCCTGCCATCCCGCTTGTGCCTGCTGCTCTGATTTTCTTGCCTGTAAAGCACAACCCTCACCTATGATGCTGTCATATGGACGTGATGGCTGATTTCACATCCTCGATTTTCCCAGACAGTTTTCACGGTCTATCCTCTTGTCTCATAAGTGTAAATGTACTTGTCTGACCATGAGTCCTTATTTTGATTTGGAAAGTCCCGTTTATTTAGATTTGGGGCCAGGTTGGGGGGGGGGAGCGAGCGAGGAAAGAGAGAGAGATTAAGTTTGTGTGCACTTCAGTCCTAAGACCTATACTGAGCATCTGTTATGAACTCCGAGGCTACCAAGAGGAATACAGCACAGATCCTCCCCTCACCGGAGCTCACAGTTTGGGGCCTGAAGAGACAGAAGGGTAAACAAATTCCAGGCATCATTGAATGTTACAACAGAGAACCCCCCCCCGGGACCGTAGTGGAACACACAGGAAGGACGTTACTCTCCCGGAAGATCAGAGGCGTCTTCTTGGACAACGTGCTGTAGGGCCGGGGTCTGGAGGAGTGAGCAGACAGCTTTGCAGGGAACTGTGGTGAATGGGCAGTGGGAGGAAAGGCAGGAAACAGTGCATGGCATTCGAGACACTGCAAGATGAGAGGCAGCTTGGCTGAGAAGAGCATCGTCTGGAATCCCACAAACCCAAGTCAGAACTGGGACTTCACCTGTCTCAACCTATCGGCTCACTCACAAGTAGAAACGTCAATAGGGTTGTGCTGAGATGACATAAAGAAGCTAGCCCGCTTGGTGCTCATAGCAGATTCTCAATCAACGGTGCCTCTCTGGCATCCAGGCCCTATACCGGGAGTTGGGTTGTTGGCTGGGGAAGAACTGCAGCAAATGAAGCTGGAAAAGTGAGTGTGGCCAAATCGCAAAAGGCATTTTGGGGGCGCATCACACACAGTCTGCTGTGGGGCGTAAAGCGAAACTACATGTGGCGTATGGGCTTGCTGTGGGTGGAGTCACAGGGCCGGTCTGGAGCTCAGGGCGGAAAACTGGACTGGTTTGGATAGGGATTTGGGGATCCCTAGAGGGCAGAGGGTGGTTGCAGATGTATATAAGGATGAAGTGTCGAGTGTGCTGCACAGAGGAAGAGAGAGTACCGGGCGCGAGAAAGCAGAGACCGAAACCCCGAGGAACTTCTGTACCTGGGGAGCTGAAGTGTCGGCGGAGGGAAGAGCAGGCCTGGCCGCGGAGGCGGAGAAACGGGGAGAGTGATGCCACGGGGCCCAGGGAAGGAACACATCTCAAAGAGAAAGTGGTCAACGGCGTCAGAGGCAGCGAGAAGGAGTAAGAGGGAGCTGGGACTGGAAGCCGCCTGCCCAGGCTCAGCGAGCAGGCAGGAGCGCGTGGGCCGCCGTGCGCGTGTAGCCCGGAGCCTTTCCGGGGCGCGGTTAGTGCTGAGGTCTACGGTGAAGAGGCTGAGAAATTAAGGGTTAAGGAATTGCTGTGGATAAGAACACAACGTGTGTGTGTGTGTGTGTGTGTGTGTGTGTGTGTGTGTGTATGAAAGGAAGAGATCATTATAACTATGGACCATTTTGGGGAGTAACTTTTAAATGACATCCCCACATACTCACTTTGTAGTTTTTTTGTTTTTGGAAGAAATCTCTCAGAATCCGTTCTGCGGAAGGCGGTCTCGGGAGGAGGCCGTCTGAACAGGAGGCGTGGAGGCGCGGCGCCCTGTCCTCCCCGGGCAGCTGTGTGCGAGCGGACGCCGGCCTCTGCAGGGAGCAGCCGCGAGAGGACCGCGCAGAGCCCGAGCCGCACGACTACTTCAACGTCTTGAATTACAGAAGCCTCGCGAGCTTCAGCGCCCCCGCCGCCGAGGAGGGCTAATAGCTCCCGGGGGCATCCTCTGGGAGACACAGACACAGATGGACGTATTGGCGTCTGCCCATCACGGCTCTGTGTGTGTGTGTGTGTGTGTGTGTGTGTGTGTGTGTGTGTGTGTGTGTGCGCATGTGGACGTCTGCACATGTGTGTGTGCAGGTGTGTTCAGTTGAGTGCATGTATGTCATCCTCCTCTGTGTCTGCATTCCCTTTACCCTTCCCTTCTGTTTCATCTTGGCAGATCCCGGGGAGGAGCCTGTATCTTGATTACCAATGCAAAGTTAGAAAACCAAACAAACTCTTGACCTGGTTTTGAACCTGGCAGTTGGAACAGATCCTGTGGCTGAGATCTGCATTCCCCCTAAAAGCATTGGGCAGGGTTCAGGGCTACAGGATTCTGTGGTGGATTTCGGGGATAGGGTGACTGCAGAGGCACCTCGTCTCATTTGCCACTGTCGTCTGCATCAACGTTCACACACCCAAGGCATTTTAGGACTAAGGCTTGCTACCAGCTTGTATGCAGAGACTGGAGGATGACTAAACCATTGACTCGGGTCCCAGCCCCTTGAGAACTTACAGTTCAGTGGGGAGACAACATTTACATTAAAAAGTAGTGAGGAGATAAGGGTCCAAGACACAGGCCTTTGGGAAGAGATGTCAGTTCAGGGTGAGATAGTCAGGATGAGCTCATCTGTGGGGAAGTGGCCTGAGAGGATGTAGGGAACAGTGAGGCTGGGCTGGGAGAGCAGGATTTTTGTCTAGGGAATTCATAGATTCTAAAGTTGGGAGCTGAAACTCCCACATGGAAGACCCTGGTATCAAGGGAGCCAGCAAGACTTCAGATTCTATTCTCTGGACAGACTTTCAAATCTCCTTTTGCTTGATGTACGCAGAAGCTAGTGATGGCCTGATATAGAGGATTCTAGGCTCTTCCAGTCACGTGCATTGGGGAAGCCCACAGAAATGGTGTATGTCTACTGCAGGAGCTGTAGTTCAGCCCTTGGGCTGAGATCCACCTCTTCTCTATCAATCTGCCATTGAGCCTTTGAAGAAATAATCTATTTCCCACCGAAAGGAAAATCTGGATTTTAAAATAGGGACTCTTCACAGGAAAACAAAGGAGGGTGATGGAAGTTTTAATAAATGAGCACCTCAAACTAGCTGCCTGGAACCCTTAAATTCACACCCTGAGCTCTTTGTGCTGGGGTTAGAGTGGCATCTGAGCTGCTCATTTCTGTTTAGCTGGCATTCAGGCTTTATCCTCCCACCACCTCTCTTAGAAGAATGAGGGAGGTTGGGTTCATAGGAGACTGATTTTCTTTCATGGGCACAGGAACTGAGAGAAAATGTGAAGCAAGACTGTCCTCACTGGACAGTCTTTGATTTTTCTCAGTTCCCTACCAAACAAGTATGTAGTCAGGAGCCATGAGCTGAAATCTGTCGTCCAGAGTGCCAAGTCCTTTGGAAGAAAGATAGATACCTGTAAAAATGCTGTTATTTGCCATGGCAGTTCACAGCATTTTTATTGCAAAACTAGTGCAGATTGGTTGGGAGTAGAAGACAGTTCACAATTCACAGTTCACAAATGAGCTAACATATAATGACAAAAAGGGAGTGGTGGTTTGATTTGGAAAAGGTGTACATTGGGCTGAGGCTGGACTGACAGTTGGGTGTTATTTAACATGATTATGGTAACAGGGAAACATTTACAGATGCCATTTGGATGGTGCTAAAAATACAAAGGAGCCCATAGATGTTGTAAATGGGACAGGTTACTAAAATGAGATTGAATTAGACGGAAAATAAATTTGAAAGTGAAATTCATTGAACCAGATTTTCCTTGGAGAACTGAGAAGACAATCCCCTAAAAGCCAGATTCCTGGAGACATGCCTGTCCAGTACAGCAGCCACTTTCCACATGTGGCTCTCACGTGGGATGTGGTTAGTCCTATTGAGATGGGCTGTGCTAGAAGTAGAAAATACATGCCAGATTTTGAAGACTTAGTGTGAATAATAAGAATGTAAACTGTCACATGAGTAATTGAAAAAATATTGATTACATGTTGAAATTATAATATTTTGTATATATTGTGTTAAATAAAATATATTATTAAAATTAATTTCACCTGTTTCTTTTTTTTTTTTTTTTTTTTTTTTCCTTGCGTTATGCGGGCCTACTCACTGTTGTGGCCTCTCCCATTTGCGGAGCACAGGCTCCGGACGCACAGGCTCAGCGGCCATGGCTCACGGACCCAGCCGCTCCGCGGCATGTGGGATCTTCCCGAAACGGGGCACGAACCCGCGTCTCCTGCATCGGCAGGCGGACTCTCAAGCACTGCGCCACCAGGGAAGCCCTCACCTGTTTCTTTTTAATGTGGCTATTAGAAAACATAAAATTACATATGCCCTACAATTGTATCCACCATATATTTCTTTTG